TCCCGTCTTCCCAGCACTCTTTGTCATATAACGCTTTGACACTACTGACGGTCTTGGCCTCCACCACCTTCTCACTTAACTTGTTCCAACCATCTACCACTCTATTTGCGAAGGTGAATTTTCTTATATTTCTTCGGCATCTGTGTTTAGCTAGTTTAAATCTATGACCTCTTGTTCTTGAAGTTCCAGGTCTCGGGAAGTCTTCCCTGTCGATTTTATCAGTTCCTGTTACAGTACTATTTTGTACGTAGTGATCATATCACCTCTTTTTCTTCTGTCTTCTAGTTTTGGCATATTTAATGCTTCTAACCTCTCCTCGTAGCTCTTGCCCTTCAGTTCTGGGAGCCACTTAGTAGCATGTCTTTGCACCTTTTCCAGTTTGTTGATGTGCTTCTTAAGATATGGGCACCACACAACCGCTGCATATTCTAGCTTTGGCCTAACAAAAGTCATGAACAATTTCTTTAGTATATCGCCATCCATGTATTTAAAAGCAATTCTGAAGTTAGAAAGCATAGCATAGGCTCCTTGCACAATATTCTTTATGTGGTCCTCAGGTGATAGTTTTCTATCTAGAACCACCCCTAGATCTCTTTCTTTATCAGAATTCTTTAAAGATTTCTCACATAATATATAGGTTGTGTGGGGTCTATGTTCTCCTATTCCACATTCCATAACATGGCATTTATTAACATTAAATTCCATTTGCCAGGTGGTGCTCCATATACTTATTTTGTCCAGGTCTTTTTGAAGGGCATGACAATCATCTAAATTTCTTATCCTTCCTATTATCTTAGCATCATCAGCAAACATGTTCATATAATTCTGTGTACCAACTGGTAGATCATTTATGTAGACAATAAACATCACTGGTGCAAGAACTGAACCCTGTGGTACTCCACTTGTGACATTTCTCCATTCTCCATTTTTCTATCAGTCAGAAAATTTTTCATCCATGTTAGAAGCTTACCTGTCACCCCCTCCAATATTTTCCAGTTTCCAGAACAACCTCTTATGTGGAACTCTGTCGAAAGCCTTTTTTAGGTCCAGATAGATGCAGTCAACCCAACCATCTCTTTCCTGTAATATCTCTGTGGCTCTGTGTGTGTGTAACATACCTTGTGTGTATGTATAGGTATGTATGTGTGTATGTATAGGTATGTATATGTGTATATATAATATATATGTATATATGTGTATATGTGTATGTATACTTTTTCTTTTGGAAGGGGCTCTGTTCTCTTCTCTGTTGACGGGGCGCTGGGGAAGCAGCTTGCTCTGTTGACTCTCGCATGGTCCCGCAGTTGGTGGGCGCTTTTGGTTGTCTTCCGGTCTCTGGTAGTGGCAGTGGACGGCTTCTTCCCCTTTGGGGGGTTCAGGGCTGGCGGGGTGGGCTTCTTCCCCTGTGCTTCGTGATGTCATCTTAGTGGGTGCGTTGGACGTGGTCGATCCGCCCCATCCTTCTGGGGCTCCCGTCTGCTCTATGCAGACATGGGCCTGTTGAATCTGCTGTTATTCTAGACTTCTTCTGTCTGCGCCCTGGATTCTATGTCCTCATTGAAGGACTGTTGTCTCCTGTCCGGCTTCTGTTGGGGCCGAGTGCCTGGATGGCGGCCCTGGACCTCCAGGTCAATTCTTGGCACGTTCCTCTCCAGTTTTCTGGGACTGGCACAGTTGGTGGTGGGGCTTCAGGCTTGCCGCTTTTGTAGCCTTCCCTATTTTGTAATTGGCACTTGGTGTATTAACGCATCTTTACCGGATCTTGGTGTCCTGTCTGAGTCTGCTTGGGATTCGGTGTCTGGTCTACCTTGACGACTGGCTGGTGTGGGCTCCCAGTCAGTCCGCTTGTCTGTTCGCCAGGGGTGTGGTTATTTCCAGATCGCCGAGTTTGGGTTCCTGGTGATCTGGAGGCCGTTCCATCTGTTTCCATCCCAGGTTCGGACCTGGCTGGGTCTTGTTTAGGGCTCTTGGGCCGCTCCTTGTCTTTCCCTCCAGAAGTGTTGCTATGGCTGTGGTCCCGCCTTCGGCTGTTCATGAGGGGGTCCCAGGTTGCTCGGCGGTTGCTCGAGCAGTTGTGCGGGAGTCTGAACTTCAACGTGCTGGTCTGGCCGAGGGGTAGGGTTTGGCTTCGGTGTCTCTTTGGTTCCTTCGGAGACTCCCCTTCCACCTCTCTTGCAATCGTTGGGTTCGTTCCTCCGGGGATCTTGTGTTGGTGCTGCGTCACCAGCTTCCTCTTTGGGGTTTTCGGGGTTCCGTGCCTTGACACCTCCCAGAGCCTTCACTCGATGTGTTCACAAATGCGTCGTCTCTCAGTTGGGGCTTTGTGACCAGTGCTCACCAGGTCGGACCAGGTCGGCTGAGGATGGTGGGGTCTGTCCGTCCGTTGGGCTCACAGCATGGTTTGGGAGTTCGTGACTGTCTGGTTTGCACTTCGGAGGGTTTGGGTCACTCAGTGTTCTACTATTCAGCTCCATTCGGACTGTTCTCTGGCAGTTTTTTGCCGGAACCACAGGGTTTCTCTTAAGTGTTTGACCTTTGGGGTTGGTCCCTTAGAGTGGCTCGGTTGCTGGATTCTCGGGGTTTGGCTAACTGTGAGGTTCATGTCCTGGGTATGTCCTGCGTCCTGGCGGACAGCTGTCTCGGTTCATTCCTCTGTTCGCGGATTGGCCAGTCGTTGCAGACTCGCTTCGTTGCTCTGCCGGACGTATGGACTCTTGGCCATGGACGTCTTCGAGACGGCGTGGTCTAGGCGTTGCCCATTCTATGTGGCGCCCTTACCTGCCTGCAAGACGTTCACGGTGGATGCCTTTTGGCAGGACTGGTCGAGGTGGGGGTACCTGTTCCTCTTCTCCCGGTCCAGCTGTTGCTTCGGGTTCTGGCTTGGTTGGAGCCCATTCCCACGAGAGTAGTCCTTATGGTCCCTTGGTGGCCAGCCCAGCTTTATTTTCAGACACTGCTTGATAGATGTCCGAACACAGTGCGTTTTCCCGCGGCTCCTCCTCTTTCGGCAGGTCGGATCGGTCCTGTACATAACTGGTTCGGCCTTCTCCTCGGCTCTTCGCGTCTGGTATTTTGACGCGTGTATCACCATCTCTCTGGTGATCAAGTGACTTTGTTGACGGTGTCCCACCTGCGAGCTTCGTCTCAGCGACAGTATGACGTTATCTTGAGGTTATCTTGAGATGATTTCGGGGCTTTTTAGTGTCCCCGCGGCCCGGTCCTCGACCAGGCCTCCACCCCCAGGAAGCAGCCCGTGACAGCTGACTAACACCCAGGTACCTATTTTACTGCTAGGTAACAGGGGCATAGGGTGAAAGAAACTCTGCCCATTGTTTCTCGCCGGCGCCCGGGATCGAACCCAGGACCACAGGATCACAAGTCCAGCGTGCTGTCCCCTCGGCCGACCGGCTCCCTAACACGTTCCTGGTGTTTCTGTGCACTTTTTCTTGCTCTTCGTAGGTTGTCTTCTCTTTCGCATTGGGTTGTCTTGTCCTTTCTTGGGTTTTCAGGACTATAGTTATTTATTGTTTCTTACTGTCGCCTCGTTTTGTGCGGTGCTGGCGGAGCCGCTCCAGCTTGCATTCGGGGTGGACGTCACATCTGCCCCGTTTCGTACGTTTTCTCGTGTTTTGTTTCACCTCCGGAGTGCTCATGCGTCATCTGAGCCGTCCTGGTCCTTGATCAGGGTGCCTTCTTATCTTCTCCTCAGTTTGTGGTAGTCCCTTCAGTTCAGGTTTCTGCTCTTTGGTACTGGTGGTAGGTTTGTACGTTTGCAGCCTTTCTCCGTCCTGGCGACGGTCGAGACGGCTGCTTTCCGGAGGTGTTCTTGGGTTATTGATGCTTGATTGGTTTGGCCAGGGGTGCGTCCTGTGTTGTCCTGTTGCGCTTTTTGTCGTTACTTGTGTACCGTGTCTGGGGATGCGCTTTGGGCTGATCCGGTTCCCCTCGTTCCCTGTTTCAGGGCTCGGGTCTCCCAGGTCGTCCGCAGAGTTTTCCAGTCTTCCAGCCTGCGGTCTGTCCTTGCGCCCATGCTGTTCGGACGTTTGCAGCTTTTGCTGCTGTGTTGGTGACATCTAGGGCTCATTTCAGGCTCAGGGATTTGAGGGTCGCACAGGTTCTTGGCTGCCTGTTCTTTATGCACGTCTGCTCCTGTGCGTTCTTGTTGCCTTGGGTCGCAGGTTGCAGCCTGTTGTCTCGGCTTCACATTGCGGAGTTTGTGGCGGCCGCCTCCCGGGTAAGCCCTTTCTTTTCCTTCTCTTTGGGTATGAAGCGCCAGAGAGCCGTAGGGGCTCCCCACAGAAAACGAGCGTTGAATGTAATGAAACACCATTTTCTGGGTGAGCCCCGTAGGCTCCCTGGCAACCCTCCCTCCCACCGGTCGGCGGTTTTTTCACGTTGGTTGAAGCTTAGCTTCCGAACTGAAGCTAGGCAGCTGGCGCGGTAGGTCTGGGGTCCCCCTCCCCCTCTCAGGGTGGGGAGGGCTGCGCAGACGATCGGCGCGGCAGTGAAGTGTGATGTTTGCTTGTTTACTTGTTTCCTGGGATTGTAGGGAGTTTCTACCTCTCTGTTCGTTTTTTTGTTTTAGTTTTTTACCATGTGGGGTTTGTTTTGTTATGCCTACCTTTCTGGGTGCCTAACCCTGGTCGATGGCAGATAAGGAAAACCCCAACCACAGGGGGTTTTCCAGGGCCATTGCTCCCTGAAACCTCTCTGAAGGGGCCAGGTTCTGGCGCTGGTCCCTGGTAGGTCTGAACTCCTTAGCTAATGTCCTGGTCTAATATAACATACATTAGCCCGATAAGCTCCAGGGAGCCTCCGGGGCTCACCCAGAAAATGGCATTTCATTACATTCAACGCTGGTTTTTTTCTGCATTGGTGGGTATGACCATTTCTCCATAGCTGGTGTCTAAGGGTTAAATGATTGCATGGCATACTACTACTAATGTCAGGTAGATTAATTTATTCGAGGCATTGACATTATAGGTAATTAAAAATTCCAGATTTGTGATTGAACGACAGAGCTTGGATGGGACGAAGAGGGAACCAGTCGTAACGTCGGCAGTGTTGAATGTTGAGGGCCTGGCTGTTGACTGGATGGCACGCAATATATATTGGACTGACGAGGTATCTCATGCAGACTTGCAAGTAGCTGAATATATTTCATACATTTATTATCAGAGAATATAGTGAGTTACTTTTCATGTAAGTCTTGACGTGACAGGGTGGCACGCAGTGCACACAGCACTGATGAGGTATTTAGTTTGCTCATACTAATAACTGTACAGTATTTTGTAAAACTGTATTTATTTTCAGGAAATATAATACAAGATATTTTATTATGGTGAGCCTTCATATGATTTTGTACCTTGGAATTTAAAATTGCATACCCATGGTGAGTATTGCACACGGATTCATCGTCTTATGTCTTCTGGGCATGTTATTATTTGTGTGTGGTGAGTTGCAGTCATTGTGTGCCGTATGTCTAGAGAAAATATAGAGAATTATTGCTGGTAATCATGTTTAGTCGTGTCAATTATTCATTCTCAGAACTATTCCACTTTGAGGTTTCTCAGTGCAAGAGTCTTTCTGGTCACATTGGACATGAGTATTGTAGTCAAGGTAGGGGTGACAGTCAGAGCAAGGTGACAGTTAAAGGAAGGTGACAGTCAGAGCAAGGGGACAGAGCAAGGTGACAGTTAAAGGAAGGTGACAGTCAGAGCAAGGTAACAGTCAGAGCAAGGGGACAGAGCAAGGTGACAGTTAAAGGAAGGTGACAGTTAAAGCAAGGTGACAGTCAGAGCAAGGTGACAGTCAGAGCAAGGTGACAGTTAAAGCAAGGTGACAGTCAGAGCAAGGTGACAGTCAGAGCAAGGTGGCAGTCAGAGCAAGGTGACAGTCACAGCAAGGTGACAGTTGCAGCAAGGTGACAGTCACAGCAAGGTGACAGTCACAGCAAGGTGACAGTTGCAGCAAGGTGACAGTCACAGCAAGGTGACAGTTTGCAGCAAAGTGACAGTCTGAATCTGAACAGGCTAACAGTTAGACAAGGGTGACAGGCAAGTGTGACAGTCTGGGCAGGATGACATTCAGGCAAGGGTGACAACAGGGCAGGGTGACAGGCAAGCAAGGGTGACAGTCACACAAGGGTGACAGTCACACAAGGGTGACAGTTAGGCAATCTTCAGTAAGATTATGTCCAATGTGTTTAACAATTTCTTCTCCTCTGATAAACCTCAGTTGAAATCTTATTTTGGTTTGTAACTCAGTAGTGTGTTAGATACTGTTTCAGTGGTCTGTCAGCCATTTCTCCACCTTGTTGACATTCCCTCTCATCTTCTGGAACCTGTAAGTCATTTTCCCATCCAAGGTATTTCCCATGGGTATCCAAGGCTGATGCTGACTCTCACTCTGACAGTCACCATCAGGCTTGGATACCTATGTGCATGGGAAAAGGCTTACAGGTTCCAGAAGTTGAGAGGGAATGTCAAATGTCAAACCAAAGTAAGATTTCAACTGAGGTTTAACAGAGCAGAAGAAGTTCCTGGGGTGGGGGAAGGGGAGCCGGTCGGCCGAGCGGACAGCACGCGGGACTTGTGATCCTGTGGTCCTGGGTTCGATCCCAGGCGCCGGCGAGAAACAATGGGCAGAGTTTCTTTCACCCTATGCCCCTGTTACCTAGCAGTAAAATAGGTACCTGGGTGTTAGTCAGCTGTCACGGGCTGCTTCCTGGGGGTGGAGGCCTGGTCGAGGACCGGGCCGCGGGGACACTAAAGCCCCGAAATCATCTCAAGATAACCTCAAGATAACTCAAGATTCCTAAGCACATTGGACATAATCTCATTGAAGCCAACATATAATTCATAAATACTCATACATCGCCTAAGTAATATAGAAAAGATAGATACTGTACTAAGATAGAAGCTTAAAAGGGGTCCCGGTAGTACAGTCGAGTTTGTTCTCGACGCACAATTGAGAATTCTGGGCTCAAATCCCGAGCGGGACAGAAATGGTTGGGCACATTTCCTTTCACCTAATGCGTCTGTTCACCTAGCAGTAAGTAGGTACTGTACTTTGGAATTAATCAGCTTGTTGTGAGGTTGTATCCTGGGTGGGGTCAGTAATTTGACCTTGGTGGCATGGTGGGGGGGAAGGGACCTCGATATAAGCCTAATGTGTATGAATACTGTGACGGAAAAATGAGGAAGAGAGCAGCGGCTATTCGGGGAGCTGAAATGCCAATCACATTAACCAAAAAAAAAAAAAAAGTAAATAAAACTGCTATGGATCTCTTTATGGTGTGGTAGCTGTAGGATAAAGTACAAAGAATGAAACAACTTAAATATTTTAGTGTAACAAAAAATGACTAACAATTTAAAAAAAAAAAAAAAAAATCTTCTCAATGACTTTGCTTAAATACTCAGTGCAAAAATATAAAAACAAACAGACAAGTGAACATTACATAAAGATCAAAATAAATGGTGCTGGAATACTATGTACATAAGCTGCGTAAATCTACGACCACCTAGGGGAGTGTGAGAGCAGATGTAGCAGCTTGGAGCACTGAGAGTATTCTGCCATGTAGTGGCTGGTGGCTCCTATATATGCACAGGTTTGTCCATGTAGGTGATGCTGGTGTGTCGATAATTACCAGCCGGCAGACACAAACGTGCTTGTTGACCGGCGAGTGGGGCGACTCTCAGATGCCAGGTGCACTAGTATGACGGGTACTGGAGGAGGGACGATAGTATTAGCTCGTCTAGACATGGCTTCTGAAAACTTGTTGTTGTTGTTGAATATGCAGACATGTTGTTGTTGAATAAGTGATGAAGGAATAGGCCCAATCTCGTTTCCTAAGGAGATTCTTGTGACAATACACACAGGCTTCCTGTCCCCCAATGCAATGAATTATATTATATAATTATAAATAAGTAACACTTAGTGGGCCAGCAAGAGGCTTAGGGGCCGTGTAAGAATATTCATGGACAAAAAAAAAAAAATAAATAAATAAGAGTCAAGGGGTGAGAGTGAGGCAAGAATGACAATGAGAGTAGGGTGGCAGGCTGCATCGGTGTAACACGGGGATGTATCCACATGTTTCTGTTGAACCATACTGGTGGTAAAGAGTCACTAGAGAAAATCTCAGTTCAGCCTGACACCATATCCAAGCATTCACTTCCAAACACTCAAAGCTCTTCCAAGCCCAACTTGGCATCACAGGTACTAGGAAGAGATGCTCCACTAGTTAACCTAAGCTGTCACTTGCATCAGTCACCAGGTGGCAGCACCCTCACTGATTCCCTAGCTTGGCACTCCTCTCATTCTAACTCACACAAAGAATGAGGGCACATTGAAATCCTCGGGACTCCTCCCATTCTTACTCATACAAAGAAAGAGGGCACATTGAAATCAGAGTTGTAAGTTTTAAATAGTGAAGATAGTAATAAGCTTCTGAGCTCATATGACACTGCCTATAAACATTTTAATTTCATTAATTTTTCATTTGGCACTTTTTGTCTACAGGGTGTGTCGTCCATATTTGTGTGCTCTATGAAGAACCCTGAGAAACGTAAGATGCTTCTTCATGGGAACCTGACGAACGCAAGAGCGATAGTTTTAAACCCGGGAGAAGGCTTCATGTATTGGACTGTGTGGCAATTCACTGTTGGGGGAGTTATTGCTGGTGGAGATGGCTTGATAGAGCGAGCATGGATGGATGGAACCCATAGAGAACCATTTGTAACTAAAGATCTCCAGTGGCCCAATGGATTAACAATTGACTTCAAAGAACGTCACCTATATTGGTGTGATGGCTTTCATAATAAGATTGAGAGAATAGGACTTGACGGCAAAAATCGAGAGGTAAGTTATATTTTTGGGCTGACTGACATGTATGTATGTATATGTAATTATAGTTCCTAAGTGTGATTACTTAAGTGTAGTTGCAGGATGAGCTACATTTCTGGTATCCCATCTTCTCAGTACTCTGTCATTTGACACTTTGAAGCTACTGATGGTTTTGACCTCAACTTGTACCCACCTTCTATAATTCTATTCACAAATGAGAACTTTCCTATGTTTTTAATCACCTTTATTTCCTTAGCGTCTATCTTTAGCCTATTGTTCATGAAGTTGCAAGTTTCAAAAGTTCTTCCTTGATTATTTTGTCAGTTACTGATTCTATCTTGTAGTATTTAAACAATCTGTAGTTTTCTAAACAGTCCCTGTGGTGTAGTGGTAAGACACTCACCTGGCATTTCGCGAGCACATTGTCCTAGGTTGGTATCCTGGCCTTTGAGGGTTTACTGGGCATCAATCCTTAACTGTAGGTTCTGTTTACCCAACAGTAAAAGGGGTACCTGGTTGTCAAACGATTTGGCGGGTCGTATTCCGGGAACATAGGATTAAGGACCTGCCCGAAATGCTACGCGTGCTAGTGGCTGTGCATGAACGTAACAACTCTTGTATATATAAATAAATAAAAATAAAATAAATAGTGATCATCATGCTTCTCTTCCTTTCTTCCTTCCTTCCTTCTGTCCTCGTAGGTTTTATTTTTCAGTTCTGGAAGCTATTTAGTAGCATGTCTTTGCACCCTTTCCAGTTTATTGATGTGCTTCTTGAGATACAGTATGGGAACCATACAACTGCTGCATATTTCAATTTCACCATTGGCGTCGCTGAATATTTGTGACAGTGTCACAAATATGGTGAACAATTTCTTTAGTATTTCACCATTTATGTATTTAACCCCTGGGCTGCACACCTGTTAATAGTTGACTATCTCCCAGTGTGCAAGAACAAAAATTCCAACAATATTTTTTCCTTCTAATATTGTTAAAATGTTCCCTAATCACGGGAAAACAAATTTAATATTGCTTACTGTTGCTGTGAACATGTGAAGAAATACATTCTGGAGTTATATTGGGGGAGGGTGATCTTTCTGGGCCCTTGGTGGCCAGACTAGTCTTGGTTTTTGGTGCTTCTAACCTAGTGTTTCAACTCAGAAATTTTTCCGTGGCTCAACCTCTTTCAGCAGATCAACCTGATGATGTACTTTACTGGTATGACCTTCTCCTCTGTGCTGTGTGCCTGGAATTTTTGCCGCCTGTCTATTGCTATTTGTTTGGTAAACGGGTGGGTGGTTTGATGGTGTCCCACCTATGTATTTCCTTATGACAATAGTATGAGATTACCGGGGGCTCGTTTCACCACTTTCTCTCTCTCTTCACTGGCTTTCTTCAGTTTTGGCTAAAACTCTTATCTCTTCTGTCTTGGTTGTTTCTAGATCAGCATTTCATGCCTAATACTGTCTTTAATTGTTCAGTGTTGGCAGAGACTAGGGCTACATGCACCTAGAGTGCATGCACCAACACAGAGCAACAACACCGCTAAGCAGCACTGCGCAGAGAGAGGAGCCAGAGTCGATCGACCGTCACCTACACAACAGCCTTCTGAACTGAGGAGAGTTGCCGGCGAGGAGGTCTAGGACACCCCCCGTCCTCCTCCTGGGGAGGGGGTTTGTGCAGACAGATGCACGGTGGTTGTGGTGGCGTCATGCTTGTTTCCTTGTTTTTGATTAGGGAGTTCTGTTTGCTAGTTCGGCTTTCAGTTTGCAATTTTTGACTAGCAGTCATTTATTTTGAAATTCCTACCTTTCTGGGTGCCTGACCTAGTAGATGGCAGACAAAGACTGCTTCCAATTACATGGGGGTGTTTTTAGGCCATTGCTCCTCGTGCCTCTCATGAGGGGGGCCAGGTTCTGGCTCTTGTTCCCGGTAGGCCTAGAACTCCTTCGAGTGATTGTTGCCACGGTCTAAGATATACACATCAGCCCAGTATAGTTCAGGAGAGTCTCCTGGTCTCACCCAATAAATGACGTTTCATTACATTAAACGCTATTTTTTTCTGGTGAAGAATGGCCGGTGGTGCATCACAAGGTTGATGTGGCCGGAGGTGCATCACTTGGTTGGTGTGGCCGGTGGTGCATCACAAGGTTGGTGTGGCCAGTGGTGCATCACAAGGTTACAAGGTTGGTGTGGCCGGTGGTGCATCACAAGGTTGATGTGGCCAAAGGTGCATCACAAGGTTACAAGGTTGGTGTGGCCGGTGGTGCATCACATGGTTGGTGTGGCCGGTGGTGCATCACATGGTTGGTGTGGCCGGTGGTGCATCACTTGGTTGGTGTGGCCGGTGGTGCATCACATGGTTGGTGTGGCCGGTGGTGCATCACATGGTTGGTGTAGCCGGTGGTGCATCACTTGGTTGGTATGGCCGGTGGTGCATCACATGGTTGGTGTGGCCGGTGGTGCATCACAAGGTTGGTGTGGTCGGTGGTGCATCATTTGGTTGGTGTGGCCGGTGGTGCATCACTTGGTTGGTGTGGCCGGTGGTGCTTCACAAGGTTGGTGTGGCCAGTGGTGCATCACTTGGTTGGTGTGGCCGGTGGTTCATCACATGGTTGGTGTGGCCGGTGGTGCATCACATGGTTGGTGTGGCCGGTGGTGCATCACTTGGTTGGTGTGGCCGGTGGTGCATCACATGGTTGGTGTGGCCGGTGGTGCATCACAAGGTTGGTGTGGCCGGTGGTGCATCATTTGGTTGGTGTGGCCGGTGGTGCATCACATGGTTGGTGTGGCCAGTGGTGCATCACAAGGTTGGTGTGGCCAGAGGTGCATCACTTGGTTGGTGTGGCCGGTGGTGCATCACATGGTTGGTGTGGCCCGTGGTTCATCACATGGTTGGTGTGGCCGGTGGTGCATCACATGGTTGGTGTGGCCGGTGGTGCATCACTTGGTTGGTGTGGCCGGTGGTTCATCACATGGTTGGTGTGGCCGGTGGTGCATCACTTGGTTGGTGTGGCCGGTGGTGCATCACATGGTTGGTGTGGCCGGTGGTGCATCACAAGGTTGGTGTGGTCGGTGGTGCATCATTTGGTTGGTGTGGCCGGTGGTGCATCACTTGGTTGGTGTGGCCGGTGGTGCATCACAAGGTTGGTGTGGCCAGTGGTGCATCACTTGGTTGGTGTGGCCGGTGGTTCATCACATGGTTGGTGTGGCCGGTGGTGCATCACATGGTTGGTGTGGCCGGTGGTGCATCACTTGGTTGGTGTGGCCGGTGGTGCATCACATGGTTGGTGTGGCCGGTGGTGCATCACATGGTTGGTGTGGCCGGTGGTGCATCACTTGGTTGGTGTGGCCGGTGGTGCATCACATGGTTGGTGTGGCCGGTGGTGCATCACTTGGTTGGTGTGGCCGGTGGTTCATCACATGGTTGGTGTGGCCGGTGGTGCATCACTTGGTTGGTGTGGCCGGTGGTGCATCACTTGGTTGGTGTGGCCGGTGGTTCATCACATGGTTGGTGTGGCCGGTGGTGCATCACTTGGTTGGTGTGGCCGGTGGTGCATCACATGGTTGGTGTGGCCGGTGGTGCATCACATGGTTGGTGTGGCCGGTGGTTCATCACTTGGTTGGTGTGGCCGGTGGTGCATCACATGGATGGTGAGTACAGTGGTGCATCACATGGTTGGTGTGGCTGGTGGTGCATCACATGGTTGGTGTGGCTGGTGGTGCATCACATGGTTGGTGTGGCTGGTAGTGCATCACATGGTTGGTGTGGCTGGTGGTGCATCACATGGTTGGTGTGGCTGGTGGTGCATCACATGGTTGGTGTGCCCGGTGGTGCATCACATGGTTGGTGTGGCCAGTGGTGCATCACATGGTTGGTGTGGCCGGTGGTGCATCACATGGTTGGTGTGGCCGGCGGTGCATCACATGGTTGGTGTGGCCGGTGGTGCATCACATGGTTGGTTTGGTCGGTGGTGCATCACTTGGTTGGTGTGGCCGGTGGTGCATCACTTGGTTGGTGTGGCCAGTGGTGTTTGATGATCGTTATAAAATAAATAATTTTGTTGATTATAATTTCTGGGGGGAGCCCTGTCGGCTCCCCAGAGCTATCCAGGCTGAAGGGATATGTGTATCTTTCTGGCAACAGTCAATGCATGGAGTTCTTGCCTACCGGGGACCACGAGCCAGAACCTGGCCCCCTCTAGAGAGGCACGAGGAGCAATGGCCTGTAGAGATCTCCCTGTGGTTGGGAGCATTCTATGTCTGCCATCGACTGGGACAGGCACCCAGAAAGGCAGGCATCCCAAAACAAACCCCTATTCTGGTTAAACTATTGCGTCCGAAGGCCGGTGGTGGCCTTTGGGCCACCAACCTTTGGGCCTTTGGGCTCTGTCCACTTGGACAGTGGACAGAACTCCCCAAACAAAAATTAGCAAACTAGCATGACGTCATTATGTCACCGAGCCACTGTTTGTGCATCCCCCCCATCCCCGGGAGAGGGAAGGGGGGAGCCCCAGACCCACCCGCCGGCGTCCCAACCGTCAGTTCTTGGCTGATGGAAGTCTGGTTCGGTCGTGCCTCTGGCTTTGGTTTTTGTTTCAATTCTGTGCCTTGTGGTGTGGGCTGTCTCTACAGGTGGTGCGTGAGCCAGGAGACGTATTCCATGGTACTCGGGCTGCATGCGCCTAAGGTTCCCCTCCCTAGGTGCCCTGTAAGTACTGCCCTTGTGGCTTGGGGCCACCTTCCACAAGTCACCTCGAGATCTACCTCCGCTGTGCCGTTTACTGCTCGGTACTTGGCTGCCACTGGGTTCAGCTGAGATTTTCTTTACACCTTGTCTCAGGAAATCTTCCCAATCGACTTTATCAATTCCTGTTACTATTTTGTACATAGTGATCATATCACCTCTTTTTCTTCTGTCTTCTAGTTTTGGCATATTTAATGCCTCTAACCTCTCCTCGTAGCTCTTGTCCTTCAGTTCTGGGAGCCACTTAGTAGCATGTCTTTGCAGCTTTT